AAGCTCCCGTCTTTGGGTATTGCTGCCTGGAGGCATCGTTCCACTCTGGGTTCTGCTGTGACAGCCAGGGGGTGCTCAAATGTGACATTAAAAAAAAGCTAACAAGCTGCTCTCAAAGAGAGAAGTGCTGCTGGGAATGCAGGAGCTTGCTGTTTCAGCTCCATGCCTCCCGATGAGCTAACTGAATCAGGTAAAAGAGGATTTTGGTTTCTGTGAACCAGGTAAGCTTGAAATGTGTTTGCTGTTGATTGCAGTAGCTATGAACCATTGCTGGATTAATAATTTTGGCTTATATTGCAGCAAGGGTTTATGTGCTGAGGAATCCCACGCTGCTGCTTTTCACCAGCCATATATATATGGATCTGCTGGAATCTTGTCTTTGGATAATGGGATAATTCCTTAACAGGTATGAAGGGTTTTTTTTTTTGTTGTTTTTGTTTTTCTCCTTTACTACCATAACCACTGCAGCCCTTGGCTCTTTTGGCTGTGCCACTTCCTCCATCGCTGGGGCTGCATGCTCAGACACGAGGTGGGTGCATCCTGGCATGCTTAGTACTTATCTAAGGCAGCTGGGCTGCTACCAACCATGACGGCATGTGAGGGGGATGCTTACATTGTCTATTCCAACAGCCAGCAGCTGGAGATGGGGGGCTTCCATGCAGACAGAGGCTTTTATTTTTCCTTTTTTTTTTTCCTTTTTTTTTCTTTTCCCCTTCTTCTCCTCTCCTCCCCTTCTTCTTCTCCTTCTTTTCTTTTAATTAAAAAGAAAGAAATGGGTTGCTGCCCCGTTCCTGCCGTGCTGACCCATTCTTTTGCATAGGTTCCGTACCGCTGCGGAGGGCTACGGTCGGGGCACCACTGCCCTCTGCCGGGGCCGCACTCGGGGCTCCCGGGGCCGCTCCTCCTACAGCAGCCGGGGACAGCCTCCCTCCCTCCCACCGTGGAGGCTGCGGCCCTCCACGGTTCCCCCATGCAGCATCACCCCGCAGCAACCAGGCTGAAATGCGCTTTACCTTCCTAGCCAGGAACTCCCACAGCAGCACCTGGCTCTGCAGCTCAGTGTGGGGCTCCCACGGCAGCACCCAGCTGAGCCAGTCTGGGTGGGGAGTCAGGCACCCTGCCAGGGCCCACCTGCCTGCAGCTCTGTACTGTGCACCTGCAGGGTGCTGCCACCCTGGGGCTCCCTGCCAGCTGTGTGCTTTCAGAGCTCAGCATGGCTGTAGTGTGGTTTTGGGGAGGGAGAAGGGCAAAGGGGGGAGCTGCTCCTTGCAGTGGACAGGTGCCTGCTGCAGTGTGGGAATGGAGATATTTTATAAGGAGGAGATGGGGAGAGAGGGAGGATGGCATACGCTGTGCTGGGAGGTGGGCAGTGCAGGTGCTGGTCTCTGATTTCCTCCTGTTTTTCCTAAATGGCACCTTGGGGATTCAGCTGCTTTCTTCCTGTTTTTCTCCTGAAATTGCTGTTGTTTGTTGGCAGGGCTGTTGGGTTTTGTTTATGGTTGTTTTGTGTTGGTTGTTTTTATTTTCCAAAATCCCTCAGCAAGCGTCTGATTAATTCAGCTTCTGATTCCTTGGAAATGGCCTCTGGAGATGGTGCTGAAGATTTCTACACATGCCATCCAACTTCTGGGCTGCATAGCCTTCAGCACTGGAATTGGGTAAGAAATGTTACAACAGCTCCCAGCACTCTGCAGTTAGGAAAGAAAATATTGCACAGTGCCACATGGAGGAAAAAAAAAAAAAAAAAAAAAAGAAATCTGATTAATTAAAGGTGTGGGTGGGTGCACAATTGCATCGAATTATCCATGCGTCATGGCGAAATGGGAGATAAAGGCATGGATACGGTGTGCCAAGGAGGCAACCAAGTGCCACTGGCGTGGGTATGGGGGTGGTGAGAGCTTGAGGGTCACATCCAGCATGGGATGAAGTGCCCATGTGCAAAAAACTGGTAAGGAAGGCAGTGGTTAGGAGCTTCCAGCAGCTGTGCTGTGCACGGAAGGCTGAGGGCTGGTGGTAAAAGTGGTGCCTAAACCACATGCGTGCTTTGGATTTGCTCAACTGTAAGAGTGGTGACTCAGGTGGAGGGGTGGCAGGATGTGCCCCACCTGCCCTCACTGCCCCCAGGGGGAGGAGAAGCTGTCAGCAGGCAACTGTTCAGGTAGGAATTGCGTGGTCTGGCCACAGGCAGTGGCTGTCTGGGGTTACAGAGGTGCCTGAAGGGGGAGGAAACTGACTGTAACAGAGATCCCTGCCAGGGACACCAGAAGGCAGGCAAGGACAGTTGGTGGGTATGTTGTGTCCTGTGTAATCTCATCCTTTTGCTGCACAGAGAGGTCTTGGGAGTGGTGAGAGCTGATTCCCTTCATCTGTGCTGCTCTGGAAGAGTATGAGCATCCCTGTTGCGACTGAAGAAGAGCAGTGCTGACTGGGAAGCCATGTGGGACTGGTAGAAGGGCAGGGCAGCTGTCTTGTGGGTAGTGGTGGAGGGCCCTGTATCTGCCCACAATTGTCTGTTGCTCCCTTCAACCCAATAGATCTTCCCAAGGGAGTGGTCAGGTGCTGGAACAGCTTCCCCAGGACGGTGGTTGTGGCACTAAGGTTGCCAGAGCTCAAGCAGTGTATGGACAACGCTCTCAGACATAGGGTTTGGATTTTGGGTGGTCTTGTGTGAAGCCAAGGGTTGGACTCAATGATCCTTGTGGGTCTTTTCCAACTCAGGATGTTCTATGAGTCTAAGAGTGCCAGGTCATTGTGCTGCAGTGTCCCAGGCCATGGTGACTGCTGCATGGCTGCCTAGAGGATGAAGCAAGGAGCCCTGATGGATTTTTCCCAGAACAGGAAGTATTTCGGAGGAAAACAGCAGTGCAGGGAGGGATCTGCATGGCAAAGTTGAAGGCATCAGGGAGAGCTGAAGTCAGTGAGCACCAACACCAGTTGGAGCCTGGTGAGTGTAAGGCACTTCTGCTCAAGTTAAGAGTTTATGGCAGACCTCAGCCTGCCCCATCCCCTCCTGCTTCTATGGGCTGCATCAGGGAAAGGCTTCCTCTGTCATTTCACACATTTGGAATGACTGCCTCACATTGGAGCTGTTTTCAGGACTCGCTAGACAGTGAAAAAGGAAGAAGAAAAGTGCAGTGGGGAGAGGCTGAGGGCATTCCTTGCCCAGCGCCTTGCTCAGAGGAGCTGTAGGCAGGTAACTGTCACCAGGAGACAGACATGAAACCATGCAGCTCCTGCTGCCTCACCCAGAGCCAGAAGGGATTTTTGGAAACACAAATAAAGGGAAAAATCAGTCTCCACCCATCCACCCCAGTTGGCCAGCAGCTCACATACAGCAATCTCGGTGCTGGCAGCCCTGCTGCAGCACACTGCCAGCTCTGAGGTGTTGAAACGAAAGGAGAGGTGAACAAACAACCCCAGGTGCCTTCGAGGTGCTGGTGAGTTTTGTTTTCCCCTGTTGTGGCCTCCCCAGGAGCAGGCATGTCTCTGGGTGCCAACCATGGGCTCCGGGACCCAGGTTGTGCAGAAATGATGGGCATTAGCTCCACCAATGTGCAGCTGTGAGGCAGCAGGGCTGTGTGGGCCATACCCACAGTGCAGCACTTCTCTTGCAGGTAGGGGACGAGACGTGGGCTTCCAGTTGTGGAAACCAAAGGGAGGAGTGCTTTTTTCTTTCTTTTCTAACATAATTCTTCTCCAAAGTGGGACAAGCCCATTTTCATCTCACTGCCAGTGTTACCACGGCCAGCTGTTTTGCCCCCTTTTCCCCAAGGTAGGACAAGGGTGTGGATGGGTGGCAACAATTTCTTTTTTTTTTTCACCTCCTTAATGATGGTTTTTCATCCCAACTCCTTCAGCATCTCCTGGCCAAGGCTCAGCCCTGAATGAAACTGCTGCTCTCCTTTGGCTCCTGGGAAATAAAGGGGACAGGTCTCACTACCTCCGGGTAAACAGACAGCTCCCAGTGCTTTAGCCTCATTGCTGGAGAATTGCACTTGTAGGCATCCATTCCACCTTCTGCTGCCACAGCCCTTGGTGTGGGGTGACTGCTCTGACTCACACCAACCAGAAGGTGTCAAAATCAACCCCAAAGTGAGCATCTGCATTGAACAGCACCTCACAGAGCAACAGCCACACACAGACACGCATGCACAGAACCACTGGTTTTCAAATACTTTTAAATTCTCCTATATTGGTTCCTTTATTATATATATATATTTCCTTTCTCAGCTGTCATGCATCAGCCCTGCTCATCCAGCCTGCACTGATGAATAAGGCCAGAAGGGGCACTCTTCTATTAATGAAGAGAAATGGAGCTGTGGGTGCAGCTTCGGGGGCTCAGTCAGGGTTGAAGGAGCAAAAATGCTCTCAAACACGCATCAGCCACATTTGCAAGGCACTGGTAGGGAGCTGCTTCCTGTAGGGGCTTTGGGGAGCAGCTGGTAGCAGCCTGGCAGGGGCAGGAGCACCCCAGGGAGTAATACATGCACAGTCCAGGTTTTCCTGCTATCTTGCATTTTTCAGAGACGTGGCCGCCCTTGGGGCAACCTGTTTCCCTCGCAGCCTCCAGGCCTCTCCACTCACAGAATTAAAATCTCAGGTGCCAGGTTGCATTGATGCAAGAGACTCAAAAGCCTGCACTGCAGTTTGGTGCATGTGCCAGCCTTACGCTAAGAAGCCTGGCCTCCACCTCTGCTATTGCTGTAGAAGTTAAAGTTTTCCTCTGAAGAGAGACTTCACCAGAAGAAAATGCTGGAAAAGTGCCTCTGATTCATGGAACAGAGCAGCATGAAGATAGAGCCCTGGGTGCCCAGAGCCCTTCCTCAGTCTTCAGGGCTGAGGAATCCTGTGTTTGCAGGCAGGTCCCAAAAAGCTGAACTCTCTGATGATGCTTTTCCAGCAGCACCATGTGTGTCTAGGGAAGAAACCCTGAGGTGAGCAGGCCCAGGAGGAGCCCCGCTCTCTCCCCTCATACTTTGATAAAGACACGCAAGCCCAAATTTGGTGTCTCATTTGTTTTATTTGCCCTGGATTTAGGCACAGCTCAAGTTAACACTGCAGCAGCAAACCAGCTCCTGGGAGCAGCACAGACCAGGGTCAGGGTGCAGCACAGGAGCCAAGCCCTGGGTGTGATGGGGAGGGGATAGAAGGGACAACAGACCCTGCGATTCTGCTTTCCAGCTGCCACCCATTGCTTCCCAGTACCTTCTTGGGCTGTGTTACACAAAGGGCTGGAAAGTAATTACCATGAGTCTTTTCTTGGGAAGGCAACCTGCTGCAGCACTTGAACAGGCTCTAGGGATGGGAGGTGAGGTCCAGGAACCAAAGCACACCAGCAGCCTGGGGCACTCACAGTGTTCTCGCCTGCTGGTGCAGCAGCTGAAGAGGTGGAGCACATCAACCTTCCATCTTCCATGATTTCCATGGGGTAATGGCATCTCCTCCCGAGCCTGGCCCAGTGTTTATCCAGAGGGCACTGCAGGGGGTTGGAGCATGGAGCTTAAAGGTTCCTTCCAACCTAAGCCATTTGATGATGATGAAAACACCCCCCTGAAAAGACCATCCTTGCCCCTGACACTGGGGCCAGTGAGACGAGGGAACAAGACCACAGTTAAGGCTGGAAGGTTGGAGGGGGGTAGAAGCTGAAAGAAGGAAGAGCAAAGCCAAGTCTCCACTGCCTGTTTTAATGGCAGTGCTGGCTGAGGGGAGCAGAAAGGCACTGAAAAGACACGGAGACAAAGCAGCTGGGAGCAAAATAAAGCTCCTCAGGGAGGTAAGCTCCAACCAAGACCCTGGCAGTGGTTTCTGTGGCAGCACTGCTAGGTCTCTAGCTACAGCTTGGCAAAGAGAGGGAGAGAGATCCATCAGCACACCTGAGACATTTCTCTAGCAGAGGCTAAAGAGAAGCAGCTGCTTCTGGTTGAGGAAGATAAAAGGGGTCCTCCAAGGAACCCCAGCAGCAAAGACAGTCCGAGCAGGAGATGCTGGTACAGGGATGAGGGGTCCCACTGAGAGCTGTGCTAAATGCAGAAAAGGCACTCCCAAAAACTCCACAATCATATTAACCTGTTAATTTATACAGCATCTCTGTACAAAAATAGAAAAGGTTCTAATAAGATTAACAATATTAAATAAATATTTAATAGAAAAAGTCTTTGGCCTAGTTCATAGCTCGTCCTTTGGGTTGATGTTCATTTCACTGGGTCCTAGGTGCTCCTGGTCCAACATGGCGATCACTTCATCTGCCTGGATTCGCTCCTGCAAGAAGGGAAGGGGAGAAACCACAAAGCAGAGCCTCAGCACTCACCCAGCACAGCACACATCTCCTCCCACGACCTTCAGTGGGCAAGAAGGGCATTTGTGATGAGGATTTGCTGGGCAGAATGAATCCAAGTCTCTGTTCACCTCAATACCTAATTCCCTCCTCTCTCCCTCCAAAGGTGCTGTGGTGAATGGAGCACAGCTGACATACTGCAGATCCCTTATCACCATCCACCTGGCCTTGAAAAGCTCCAGGAATGGGGCATCCACAACCTCTCCAGGCAGCCTATGTCAGTACCTCACTGCCATCTCGGTCAAAAATTTCCACCTAACATCGAATCTAGCTCTCCCCTCTTTCAGTTTAAAGTACTTCCCCCTTGCCTTATCAGTATCTACTCCAGTAAAAAGTTATCTTCCCTCCTGCTTATAAGCTCCCTTTATCACCCAGGCTGCTCCCGTGCATCGGATTATTGGCCACTAGGTGTCAGGAACGGACAGCCCCAGCTTCACACACAGCCCTCCAGCACTCTGCTCATCATCCCATGCAGCATCCGAACCCAGCCTGAGAAAACTGCTCTGGGGTCCCTTAAGAGCTCCTTGTGTCCTCGTGTCCCTCGTGGGAATGGAAGTAGACACAGCGGGACCAAAGGCTAAGGATGCTCTGGGTGCCTGCTATCTCCCCCTCAAGCTGCGATGGAGAGACTCACCAGCTCTCTGTAAAGTGGGTCCAAGGTAAACCACAACGCCACAGCACACCGCTGGCCTTTGGTAACTGCCTTCACCCCGTGTGGATTCTCACCACCCGATGAGAAGCTGACCATTCGTCCACACTTGGGTTTGATGGATGCCTGCAGGAAAACAGGCAATGAAGGTGGCACGCACTGGCCATGTCTGCATTCCATGTGGCTCAGGGCCCTGCTGGGTGTCTGGCTCCAGGACCTTGTAGGGTTCCTGCACGGTGCAGTCTCTGAACTGACCAGGAGGCATCTCAGCAATTACCTGCTGCATTCAGCTCAGCCAGGAAAGGGCACTGACTCACCGTCACTGTTTTGGCATCCATCTCAGTGAAAATGAATTCACCGCCTTCAAAATCTGCATTCATGTAGAGGAGGGCACTGTGGAAAGAAGGAATGCCCAGTGGAGATCACTGCTCTGAGTCTATCATAGGATAAAAGGGTGACAGCTGTCTCTACTTCCTCCTACATCAGCCAGAGCAATCTTGCCCAATGGTTTGGAGCCACAGCTGATAATTAGTATACCAGCCCTGACCAGGAGACAATTCTCAGAATGTCCCAAGTCACACCAGGCTTCCACCCTTCCATTTTGCACCAAAAAAGCCTTAAAGACATACAGTCCTGAAGGCCACACTGGGTCCTCCCTACCCTAAAATACTGCAGAGCTATTACAGTTAAACTCCAGCTTGCAGCTTAGCCATAATGCTTGCTGCTATCAGCAAGGATCCACTGGATGTCACTTCTGCCATCACTGGGATGCACCAGCTTTAGGGTTTACAGACTTGCAGCAGCGTGCTCAGACCTGGAGAGAAATACAGGGGCAGCCCTGACCTTCCTACCTGTAGTCCCGAAAGGTGTAGGCAGGAGGCTCCTTCCAGCACTCATTGGCCTCAGGGTCCAGGAGGCAGTTGTCAGCATGGATGGGGTGGCTCAGGTCGTTCCTCCTCTCCTGCTGGCCTAGGCAGGGCCATGGGGAGGAAAGGGGGAAGAAGGGGTGGATGAAGTGGCAACGCCATGCTGGGTGAGATCTGTCATGGAGGCAGCATGCCCTGGCCCCGCTCCAGGTGGTGTGGACAAGCAAAAAGAGCAAAGAAAATGTTGGGGAGAAAAGGCAAACCTGAGGAGTCAGATTTGCACAGCTTTTCTTGTTTGTGATTGATGGGAAGAGAGATGGAGGGCTGGGAGACAGAAAGAAGGGAAAGCGAGACAGAGGGAAGAGAAGAGAAAGGAGGAAGAGTTGGAGATACAAAGAGCAAGAGAAACCCCAGCTTGTTTGCGACAGCAGTGCCAACACTACAGATGTGTGACTTCACCCAGCTGTTGGCCATCACTTCAACCACCAAACAACAGAGAGAGAATGCCAGACTCACATCCCCACTTGCCACACCACCACCCCCCATGGGGGACTCAACAGTGCTACCCCAGGGCTCACCAGAGAGAGCGGTGCGGCACACCAGGTGCGTGTAGGAGAAGTAGAGCGTGGAGTTGAGCATGAAGTAGGACTCGACGATCCTGCGGGCCTTCTCGCTGATGTCATAGAAGAGCCGGGCGCTCTTCAGTGGGACACGGCCCTCATAGCCATACTGGGCAGGGACAAAGGGTGAGGAGTTAGTGCCATGCCAGCTAGAGGGGGAAGGAGAGGAGAATAAGGGAACTCTACCTTGAGGGCTTTGAGGACAGTGGCACCTTCAAATCTCTCATTTGGGGTATGGGGAGAGGTTTTGCCCCTATAGCCATCTCCAGCCAACATGATCCCCTGCTAGGACAGACACAAATATGAGTGATTGTGAAGTAGTTCCTCACAAGTGGGGGGGGAAAAGTTTGCAATGCAATCAACTAAGACCCTCTTCCCTAATCCCCCAGGACCAGCCCAAGGAGGACCAGCAGCTGCTCTGCTGGAGCTAAGGGTATATTATCAGGATAAGCATCTGAATGCCCTCCACCAGCATCCCACCAACGCTCAGGATCAAGGAGCAAGCCCAGAAGCCACCTTTGACAAGTCAATCATTTGTGAGACATCTAATACCAACCCCACAAGGCAGCCACATCCCACACAGACACAACCCACTCACACTGGCCACTCTGTGAAGCTCCCGGCACTGCTCCTCTGAGATGACGTTGTCCAGTAGCACTCGTTGGGTGCCATTCAGCTGCTGTGAGTTGTAGACAAACTTCACATCACTGTAGAGAAGCGGACCCCCTGATGGAAAGAGAGACACAAAACAACCCTGCTGAACATGATCCGGCCTTACTGACATCTTGTACCATGGCTGAGGGCCAGCTGAAGTCATTGGGTGTGCTTCCAGGGAAATGGCTTTACAGCAGAAAGAGCTTGGCCTCACATCAACAACAAAAGAAACAGAAGCAATGGAAACACCCAGAGGTGAGAACAATTTGCTGCAAGAGCGTCAGCACTTCCCACATTCTCGTTAGCAGTGCCTTGCAAATGCATCCTGAAAATGCCAGAACCCAACAGGATACAATAAGAGACACTAGCTAACCTCGCTCTCCTGTCCATTGCATTTCCTTGTGTGACTGCTGACGGCTTGGCACACAAAACCACTCTCTGCCATTATCCTCAGTGGGTATTTTTGCCTTTTACTCATGTAGAAAACCCAATACGTGGGTGGTTTGCAATAAACATCACTTCTGCTTGATCCCACTGGGGAATTTAAGAGCCAAGGGACCCTGAGGACAATCTTTGCTCCCTGCAGCAGCCATGGAACTGCCACAGTCGTCCATTCAATGCAACAATCCCTCACTCTTGCTTGGATCATAGAATCATTAAGGTTGGAAAAGACCACTAAGATCATCTTGTCCAACATGTAGTATCACTCCTCTTTCTCAATTGCTCTTCAAATAATAATAATTATCTGCCTTGGAAATGGGAACAAGGTGTCCTGGCTTTTATATATAGATCTCTCTTCATTTCCCAATATTATAATTAGTTTGTATTGTTCAGTGTCATGTCACTTAACCCTTTAGTTTTAAACACAACATGATAATGATAATATTTTATGATAACATTTCCTAATCCTGACTGCCCTGCACCAAACAAGCCACAGAACCAACACCAGAGCTCCTCTACCCTCCTCCAATCACATTCCATTCTGCTCTGCCCTGGTTCAGAGCACACAGCACATTAACCCATGGATCAGCCCTTGGCAACCACTTTCTCACTGTTCATTTAAAATAGGAGGGATGGATAGGGATTATTTAAATTTATTATTTAATAAAAGCTGGGCTGCTTTTCAAGAAGCCAGAGCACGCTCCAGGATCCGTGGTGCATTATGACCTAGTGGGCTTTTACATTTCCTAAGGATAAAATTGCAATAGGTTTGTTTTGGAAAGAGAGCCGCGGATCCAGGGTTGAGATCAAAAGATCCACATGTATGCTCTGTGGAAAAAAATAAATAAAATAAAAAATCACCCCAAAGATACCGTGGAATTCTTTGGGCTTTTTGAAGCAAAGGAACCAATAGAAGAGGGGAGGGGTGAAACAATTCAGTATAAAAGTGAGGCACAACATTAAAGCACACCTTTCTTTTCCTCTTCTGACCTTTTCTCTTTCCAAGAGAAAAAGGGAAATAGAAAGAAATAAAGCAGCAGGGTAGACAAAAATCCTTTCCTTTCTTTGAAACGTTTCATTTTCTCTGTAAATTAACCAGCAAGAATAAAAGCACAGCACAGAGAAAGACACAGTGAAATTATTTCATTGCAAAGGCAAACAAACCAACAAATATAAATAAGCAAGCTTATTGCTTGGCTTAAGCAGCTCTTCAGTGTCCTCCTACTTTATGTGTGTGGCTAAAGAAGGGGAAATGACTCTGAACAAGATACTGAGCAGCAAAAGAGAACTTGGGCCACAGAAAGCTGTGAATTTCTTCCATCCATTGGATTACACAGAGGTTCACCTGCCAGCTGCTGTGGAGCTGGCCCACAGAACACCTCCTGGCCTGAGATCCTGTTGTTTTGCAGTGAGGAGCACGTATTGGTATTTGGCCACAACCTAGTTTTTCTAAATTGTTACGAGGGAAACCTCATCTGTTAGCAGAAGATGTTATGGTATTTTCTGTGGCTGCTGAGAGTGTGCTGAAATCAGTTGAAAACCCTGCCGATGAGAATTAAAACTAAGTCATTTGGGGGAAGCCAAAATATGATGTAACAAGCCAGTCTGCAAACAGAAGTGGTTGTTAATGCAGTGCAATCCAGCCCATTTAGCAAAGCCAGTGTTCCCCAAAGCTAAGGCTGACAGCATCCTCCTGCAGCCCTCACAATAGGGAACATCCTTTAAAAGCACCTGACGGAAAGCTTACTGCTCAGGTAGGATTGGCCATCATGCTCAGCTGCCAGTCTGTAGCAACAGTAAAAGCATTCTCTGATTTTACTGACACATTTGCATTGGACTTACCCTCCTTCAGCTCTCGATCTGGTTTTGGTGCAGGTTTCTTTGTTAGGGACAGCCGGGGCCCATCCTCTGGCTCACTGCTAATACCTGACGGGACACTGAGAAGCAAGAGAGAAGAGGAACATTGCGACTTTGGTCACAGGTCTCCAGGTCTAGGAGTTATGTTGCTCTGCATATATCGCAAGCCACTATGTTAAAAACAACGCAAATTAACACTTCATACAGATGTCACAAGTAGAAACCCAATGGAAAACCAAAGGGTTTTTTTTAGTAATGGGAATAACAGTTTCTACCAGCAAAGCAGAGCTACCAACAAACCCTTCAAGAGCAGTGCTGGCTTTATACACCAACTTCCCTCTGCTCCACTGTTCGTTTTGAGGAACCCAACTGTGGGAACACCCGTCATGGCCATGCAGTGTGATGGGGTGGCTGTGAATGGCTATCTCCACCACAGCCATTCCACAGGGACCTGAATGAGGTGCCGGCTCACCTGTGCTCATCTTGGCGGGCACCGTACCTCTTCCAGTAGTTCTGAGGGAAGAAAGAAGGCTGATCTTAACTTGACATCCACACACAGCCTTCACTCCTGGCTGCTTCCCCTGCTTTGCCATTTCCCAGTAATGGACACACCAGCCCAAGACTCAGATCCTCAGTCACCCACTTGGGACTCACTTTACAGTAAGAAGAGGTCAAAGATGGTCCTATGGCTGTGAACCCCTGAATGCCCCACAACAGCAGACCCAGGACTTACCGGCTCCGTGTAGGTGAACCCCAGACCAACTGCAGCCACCCGCAGGAGGTGGGACTCCAGCTTGTGCCGACGCAGTAATGCTTTTGCTTCCTGAAAGGAACAGGAGAAGAGAGGATGTTGCACGTGGAATCTCTTCCAACTTGGGATATTCCACGATTCTAACCTGGGGGATGCTTAGGTCATGCCTTAGAGCAACCTCAGGAAGCATAACATCCCCAAATACATATGAATAGCACCATGGAAAACCTCTGAATAGCTGAGTAAGATAGCGATTAGGGGAACCCAGAGCAGGAGGAAAGCCTAGGCTGCTGGAGCAAGGGCCTTGGCTGGGCTGTGCCTCAGTTTCCCTGTCCTTCTCACAGGCAGCAGCATTGCAGCCTGGGATACTGGACAGCCATCATAAAGGTGGAAATCATCCAGACAAGGCTTTCTTTTTTAAATGAAAGACTTATAAACAAAATACTGGGCTTTATCCTACTTCGCAAAGTAAAAGCAATTGTCACAGAAAACTTCAAACCAAAGGATAACATTGAAATGCTTTTCTCAGCATCTCTTTTTTTCCCTGGATCTGCTTTCTGAGTAGAGACAATGATTATTCTTGTTTTCTTCTTTAACCTCTCTCTTTCCAAGCACTTCACTAAATTCCCTAAGGAATGGAACACCCAATTCCTGCCCACCTCTCCAATGGGAACGAGCCTCTGCACGGCTGTGATGGGACAGGAGGAACTGCTCTATTGCACCTTGAGAACAGCAGCCCTGAGCCTGAGGATGAAGACGCCCTGAAGCCCATCCCTCTGGATGATGGAAAAAAAACTGCCTGTTTGCCTGACCCCAGCCTCACCCTGCTCCCAGGACAGGCTGAGCACTCAACTCCAAGGCAGCAACTCGAGCATTAACACTGGCATCCCAAACTTCCCTTGGGAAAATATTTCCCAGCACTCTCTTAACAGAAGTTGCCCTCTGCTCAGTGCCTCGTTGCATTCCTCCTCCACATTTCCTCCAGAACAGAAGGAAGGGAAAGCTTCTGCTTGAGGCACAAGGACATTGCCCTCACTGTCCTTTCTCACACTTTGCTAAGCTGAAGGTTCCATTTACAGAAGATCCTGCTCTCCAGTTTCTCCCTCGTGCTCTGGACTTGCATCATTACCATCAGCATATCTCCACCTGACCCAGCAGCTCCACACTTGCTTTCAAAGCAATGCCTGTGTGGGAAAGCTGCCAAGCTGCTCTAATTCCTAGCAGATGGTTTTGTTAAAACCTGTATGGGATACTCAACCTCACCTTTCTGGGCTTGATAGTGGCTGGATCCAGGGTGCCTTCCAAGAGGCCCTCATAATAAGCTGCATTCTCCAAGACATCTTCATCATCTGGGTGGAAGAGGAGGTAGGTCCTGGCACACTCCAGGGCTTTCACATAGTCACCAACTGGGAGATAACACAGCAGGTGTTAGGGGCACAGCCTTCCCCACGTGCAGCTGCTCTCTGGGGGTTCTCCACCAACTCATTAAACCTCTCATTTTGGAAAATAAAGCTTTTTAAAAGGCTACATACTATGTGTGTAACACTACTGACTCCTCCAGCTCTCTTCCCACTGCACTGATGAATGAAGCATTTGATTTGAACCTAAATGTTGACCCTCACTCATTCTGCCCTTTTCAGGGAAGCATCCACCATATGTAATAATCAGAATTCTGCCTAGGCTTTCTTTTTTAGAACAGAATGTAACAAAATACCAGGCAGGACCACAAAACTGATGAAAAAGCACAGCTAATGGTGGTGACTGTGTTGAATAGTGGTGTTCCACAGCTGAGAACCTGCTCTATCAAATAGCATTACTGTGCTTTTTGTTGTACTTTCCAGGGAAATAAATAGGAGGCACTACTTTTTGGAGCAATCTATGTAAATCAACTTGTAATTCCTTATGGGTTTCAGAAAGCTATGAAACTTATATATCCCCAAAATTTTAATACTGAAAACCAAATGAAAGGATCCCCCGAAAGAACAGCCTATTTTAGAATAATCATGTTTAAGCTTGGGCTTTTAAAACCTGGCTGGTGGTTTAAAATGCTTTTAGTATTTTAGTGTAATACGTAACAGTGCATTTCAGCTGATCTGAGAGGAAAAGGACTTTGAACAGAGCTTCCCCTACCCTTTGCTTCCTAATTCTTTCAGACCACGCCACTGTATTGCGGTAGCATGGACATCACGGGGAAATATCTCAACGTCCCATGAAACAAAATCATACCTGAACAAAGCCCAGCAACACACAGGAGCTGTAAGGAGCAGGAAGATGAGCCTTACCTCTGTAATAGGCAAACTGGAGGTAGTCGTAGTGGAGGGGAAGGAAGTTTTCGATGGGTGAGATGCGGCCAGAGCGCGTGGCGAGTTCTCGGACGCAGTCATGTTTGCAGGCCAGGACTTGCATGTAGTGATCTGACGGGAGAAAGAGGGAAATGATGATGCTGGCACCAGTACAGACAGCCATCATGCATCCCAGGCTGAAGGACATGCAGTCCTGGCCCAGCAGCAACTGAGCACCTAGAGGAACAAGCTCAGCTTCCTTTCCAAAGCCAACAGAGAGCCACAACCACATTTTGCCCATCCCTGAGAAGTGCTGTTCTCCTTCTGCCAACTGTAGAGGGAGCCTGAGCATCTCTTCTGCGCCCCAGGAGATGCCACCACTGCCCAGGAAAGTGCAGGGTCGGTGACAGGTAGGGGCTCAACCCCAAGAGCCAACTCCAAGGACAGCCACAAAGCAAGAAAGGTGTGAGGACAGTGCAGCTGCTTTCACAGCGCCAATCAGCTCATGTTGGCAGCAAAATCCATGCACTCATTGCTCCTCAACGATATCTCCTGGGGTAATGAAAGCACGCAGTAAACATCTGCCATCAGCACGTTTTCTGATCGGTGGGAGCACACAATTCAGGCATTGTACCAGCTGGATGATGCCGAAGCCAAAGCTGACATCTGATTCCCGTTTGGAGCCTTTGCTGCAGTGTATGTACAAATCTACTTTGCTCACTCTGTTTCTGTACGCTATTAAAAAACTTTCAGAAACAAACACAGGCTTGAAAAAAAACATGTGCTCAGCTACCAAAGCACTTCTTGGAGCTGCCAAGAAAACAGCCGGAGGAATTTGTGCTGAAATCAATTGCGAACTCGAAACAGCCCCCATTTCCTCCAAGCAGGTAGCCTGAGCAGCTGTCTGATTTACAATATACATCCAGGGTTTGCATTAAGGAAAGCAAGAAGACAAGGGACATAAATAATTTTGTTGTCATTTTAACCTCTTTAAGCATCCCAGACCTGCAAAAATCCATCATTGACAAGCACTGTTTTCAGTCAGCACTGTCAGGGTACCCAAGGAACAGGCTGTATATACTGGAATCAGTGCACTGAAATGCATCTGTCCCTGGGTGGGGAGGTGTGAGTGTTTTCACCCCTTGCAGTGGCACAGCAAATTAGCTGAAAAAAGAATGGGGCTTTGGAGAGATGTAAACACTCATCCTGTTCTATAGCAATAATCCATAGGTTTAGGTTGGACTAGATGGCCTTTTAAAAGGTGCCTTCCAACTAAGTCCTTCTCCCACTACATCAGGCTGCCCAAAGCCCCATGCAGCCTGGCCTGAACACGTAAAGGGAGCACATTCATATGTCAGTGGTTTCTCATCTTGGTAGGTTCCATCAGATTTCTTGTTGCTAGGCGAGCAGAACTATGCAAAACCAAAAACAATCTGCATCTGAGTGAAATACTTCCCATGAAAGAAGCAAAACTCCAATATATGATACAACTCCAAGACCAAGAGCAGATAAATAAGAGTTCTGCCAGCAAACAATTCTTAATTTATTGCTCTTCTACCCCTTACAACTAATTACATGTAATCTTATTCCCAGTGATAATAAACAGTTTTAAACCCCTCTGGCTCACTCACATGCAAATCCAAAGATTGCATAGCCATGTTCAATTCTGTCCAGAGACTTCAGACAAGATCATACTTAGGTGGGCCTCCACTAATGACAAATCCATTCCTTTGGATGGGAAGGAATCTACGTCCTGAGCCTTTTTGGCAACTTTCCTGTCCATCTGGAGCAGGGCCAAGACAACTCAGCTGCTCTCTTCATATGCACTGAAAATCAGAGTAAATATAACCAGTGAAGTCTAGTTATTAATTGCAGTGAGACTATGTACAGGGGGAAACCAGGGCAGTTCATGCTAAAGCACCTTTACTTCAGTCCTAACTGAATGCTGCTGATGCCCCACACACCTGAAAGCATTGTTCTTCCAGTTCAGTTTCTTCTACTCAGGAACAGAATGAGATGCCCTGGTTCCCTATCCTCTACATTTGCACTTTCTGGTCTTAATCCTGCAGCATTACTCACTAAAAGCAGCAAGGGGAGAAAAGACATTTCAGCAAACTCAGCCAACAGCCTGTAATGTAAAAACATGACAGAAAGTATGGCAATAATAGAGAGGTGGCAAAGTCCCAGACTGCAGCAAATGGGGACAAGTCCAGATACAGCAGCCATGTATGCAACAACAAAGGAAGAAAATTTGCTTACCTTTGGAAAGCCTCAGATAGGCAGGGATCTCCAGCAAGATACCCTCACCCCCACTGCTAACCCTTAAATGAGGTCTGGGAAGGGGTGAGTCCTGGCTCCACACCCTCTGGGCACTCAGGTACATTGCATGCACCTGAGATTCCTTGGGTTAGTCCTACCTTCCCACCAGGTGCTCAATCACCAGTTCAAGCTGTGACTTAGCATTTCTGCTCCACAGCCCAAACTCAACAGTTAAAAACACTGACAGTCCATTGGGTGAGAACCAGTAAGATGTGAAAAGATCTCACCTGCAATAGCTTCGTAGAGGCCAGCCTTATATTCCAGGTATTCATGTTCCTCAAACCTCTGTGGTCCCTCACACATGATCTGGCAATCCTCATCCTCAGCATAGTACCCTTCCAGTGCACGCTCCAAGTAGGCGATGGCCAACCCGTACTCCTCCTTGTCGTAGTGCCTGACCCCAGCACTGTAATCCTCCTGAGATACCAGCAGGAGACAGGACAATAAGCAGATACAGACCACAGCAACCTGCCCCTGAACCATGGGTGCTTTTTGGAAGAAGTACAAGTGGGCAAGGACAAAACTTGTCTCCTTAGTTATCTACCAGGCGTAAGCACTTGCACCAAACCACACTTAAGCCATCAGTGGACTTTTGGACCACCTGTATTTTGTAGATCTGCCTAAATGCTCTTCTGTACTCCTCTCTGCTTAGAGCACCCTGAGAACCACTGCTGGATTATGCACTCTTTTCTCTGTTATAACCCTTTTACCCAACAATGACAATGAATGCCAATGGAAAAGGCAGTCAAGTTGCCACTCCAGCTTCCTAGTAGCTTGTGAAATAAGAAGGTGGAGATGGCTCTGGTGTTCATGTTGGCCTTTCACCTTAGAGAAGCACAAAAAGCTGTCCCTTGTCTGTCACCATGCACTGTCACCAGCACAACTGTGCCCTGCCCAAGTGGGGGAACCCAGCCTGTAGGAAACATACATGAGCCAGGGTCTGTTCATTAGTGCAAAAGAGGGCATCCATCAGAGCTTCTGGTATGTAATTGACACAAATGACCTAGGAGCTCCCTGAAGGGAGGGACTGAAATGGGGACAGAGCCATCACAAAAACAGTAGGCAGCGCTGTGAAAAACAGGAGCTGACTTGGCTTAAAGAAAAGCTCTGAAAGAGAAAGTTTGTTTTGCTGTATTGTAACATGGACCTTGGCAAGAATCTCTCCATTCATAGACGATGCTCTCTTGGCCTCCAAATCTCTTTAGTCCAGACTGACACTTAACCCAGGCACCTCTTCAGCTCAGACTCACCATGTGCGGCTTGGCCTCCCGGTCGATCAAGCTGACTTTCCCCGCTGTTGTTTTGTAGTTCTCAATGTCCTGCTGTATCTCCATGTGCTCAGGGTTTGCCATGAAGAAGGTGTGAGCTGCGTTTGCTGCCTCCTCCAGCTTGTTCAGCTGTAACAAGGTAAGAAAGACCATTCAAGTTGGTGATGTACCAACTTGTTGGTACATAAACTTCTGTTTATGAGAGTTAGAACTAGATGACCTTTGAGATCCCTTCCAACCCAAGCCATTCTTTGATTCCATGATGCTATCTGCTGAGAGATGTACCTGGACACCTTTTAGACACAACTGGGCTGGGCAGCGAAGGGATAAGCAAGGTAAACCTGAATGCAGAGTCTACAGAAAATGGCTGGGGACTTGAGACCACTTATTTTGCTCAGATGTGTACAGTTGCAAAAGACTGAACTCTGCTGATGACGACAGAGAGATAAGAAGGAGTTTACCTTGATGCATAGAGTTATTTTGGGTTTTAAGTTCATGAATGAGACCAGACATTAGTGTCATGACAGAGAAAACCTCCTAAACAAATACAGACACAGTCATCCACACATCCACAGCTGCAGGAGCGCAGGGAGCAGGCCAGATGTTCAGGTGGACATCTGCATGACCCATCATGACAGATGCCACTCGCACAGCTGAGACACTTGCTCCTGAAGGAAAGCAATGCCTCTGCCCAACAGCAAGGTGCAGAGACAGGGGCAGAGAACATCTGCATGCTGAGGAGGTTCCCTCAAGCCCATCCTGCTTGAGGCATGCACATGTGTCCAGCTGACATCCAAAATGGCAAAGCCGTGGCTTCAGTTCAGCTGGGCAGGGGGAGTCCCTCTGGAAGCAGCAAGTACACGTCAAATCACTCAGCAAATCTAATGAAGTCATAGAATTGTAGGATTGTTTGATCTGGAAGGGACCTTAAAGGCCATCTGGTCCAACTCCCTGCACTGAACAGGGATACCTACAGCTCCATCAGGTGCATTAAAACATAAAGTAGGAAGTCTTGGGATCACCAAATCCACCAGGGGTTGTGAAATTAGCTCTCTGATATCGAACGAGCAATCGCTGTCACAGTCATTACTCCCTGGGACTTGGAGATACTGGAACAAATATTAGCAGCAACATCTGCCTTGAAGAGCAGTTTGTGTTCCTTCGTAAGTCCACGGCTTTCACAGGGGACAGCCCAGGGACTCACAGACACATGAAGACCTATGGGAGAAACAACCAGTCCACCTGCTCTGCTGTTTTCCTGCTCAAGCACAGTCCAAATTCCCAGCAAGGCCAGGGCAGGGCTGGCTGAGGATGCACGCACGAATACCTCTGACAAAGAGCTGAGATCCTGGCTCCCACCCACCCCCAAGAGCTGCTCTTTGAACACCGAAGCACCACTGTGCTGCACAGCCCATAGATATGCAGAAAATTTGCCTTGTGCAAACTTTAGAAGATTTCCAGGATTAGCTCTGTGCTGACAGTGGGTACAGAGAAGCTTTTACTGCCAGGAGAGGATCTGTAACAGTTCATCCCTTGGCATTTCCCACTGGCAATTCTGTTTCTTCTGTCTCACAGATACCTTAAGTCATTTTCCCAGTGTTGAACCAGAAACTGGAGCAAAGATGAGAACCAAATTCAGAGACTCGGCACCAGATCTCTCTCAAGCTCTTGATTCTCTGACTTCCCAATGCTAAGAAAGTCCTTTTAATGCAGATTCTGACTCTGGGGTTTCTTTTAATTGCAGGCTGCAAAGCACCCGCATTTAGTTCCAGAACTGACTCTGCCTAAGAGTGTTTCCCCAGGATCCACTCTGGAGAATAAGGCCTTGACTTCTCAGCAAGAGGGCAAAATCACTGTAAGAATGTCTGAGCAGAGACAGCACAGAAAAAACCCCAACCCTTTCCATGTAGAAATAAAAAACAAATTAAAAAAAGAAAGAGAGAGAGAAATTCTTATTCAGAAATGTATATCCCATCCTCTAAAAACTCATTTCAACATAATCCCATCCTGGAAAAAGCACATCTCAGCTGGATAGTGTCTGGTACATATAAAGTACTGATCAGAGCATCTCACAGTGGGAATTTTCAGGTCACGCTGAGTGTATGCAGAAGCGCCACTGCAGCCTGCAATCAGAGAGGCTGTAACACAGCAACAGGTTTGTTGGACAGAGCTTCTGACCTGATTCAGAGGTTGCTCAGAGTAATTACATCCTTCCACACCACAGATGTCTCTTCTGTTCTGGCAGCATCCTGCACACGCAGACTTAAAAGAGAGCAGACACTCAGCAAGGGGGGGCTCCCATGAGAGGCAAGTGGTGTCAGCTGGTCGTGGGATAGACCATCCTTTCCAGAAAGCTGCTGAAAATTGTCACAGATCCTAGGACGGGCTTAGCTTTTCCTGGATAAAACTCATCCCCATGAGATAGGCAAAGTCTGATTTCTAGACACAACAGGACTCCCTTTCCCTCAAAACAAGGCTCACCCCATGCCTCGTCCCACTGACTCCTCACAGCAGAGATGACCTTTTGATTTTGCTAAGCGGACTCAAAGCAGAGCATTCCAACTCAACACTTCCCAATTTATCATGTCCCACACTTGCCTTAGAAAGACTCAAGCAACACAAAGAAGCCAACAGCTGCTAAGGTTGGGGGAGTTACTAAGTGGATGTCTGTATATAAAAGCAAATTCCTAACTGGTAAGTAAGACACGTTCAGAGAGTTGCACTGACATTAATTATGAAACACTTTGGGGAAGCCTTTGCCAAATTCACTAGGCACTGAAGGATATTTTAGTGTTTAAAGGTCTGGGCAGGGACTCAGGGCACCTGGACTCAGTTCCTGGCCCTGTCGCAATCTCATTGTGCAGTCACTGGAAAAATCACTTTGTTTTCCTTGCGCCTGATTTTCCATTGTTTTAAATGAGTAACAATATTAAAAAAAAAAAAAGAAAAAAAAAGAACAAAAAAAGTATTTATCCGACAGGGGAATCATATTGTTTATTTAGATGCCAAGTAACCCAGGGACTGTAAGAAAAGCACGTTACACAAGCGGATTTTGATCTTTGTAGGGCTCTCTGGACATAATGTAAATGTAAAACACAGCATACTAACCAAGGCTGAAGGAAAATCAGCAAGGAAAAAATGACAACAGTGGAAGCACAACCTTGGTATGTGCTCTAAGATGTCCTTGTTCACATTATTGGGATGAGATCTCTGGAATGCTGCTGCAACTTCGCACCAAGCCCTGGGTACATCAGCCAAAGGAGACGCACCAGGTCAGAACATCAGTAACGAGGCAGACCTGGAGCACCCTGTCCATGTTGACTTTGCCATGACAACAGACAGAGCCAAGAAGGGGAAAACATAATTTTTAAGTGTTTCTGGGTTTTGATACTGAAAAACTTTTTTTTTTCCCATGGAAAAATTGAAGATGATTTTAAGAAACAAAACTTAAGATCAAAGAAACTGAGCAAACTGCAGATGCTTATTCCATTCCTATGAGAGACATCACTGGCCTGGACATACCAGGCAGCACAATCGGTGTCTCAGCTGTACCTCAATGCTACTGCACAGTTGATTCATAGAATCATAGAATCATAGAATCACCAAGGTTGGAAAAGACCTAAAAGATCATCCAGTCCAACCGTTCACCTATTCCGAATAGATCCCACTAAACCATGTCCCTCAACACGACATCCAGCCTTTCCTTGAACACCCCAGGCTCGGTGACTCCACCACCTCCCTTGGCAGTCCATTCCAGTGCCTGACCACCCTTTCCAAAAAGTAATAGTTCCTGATGTTCAGCCTGAATCTCCCCTGCCGTAGCTTGAAGCCATTCCCTCTGGTCCTATCACTGATGACACGAGAGAAGAGGCCGACCCCCAGCTCACTACAACCTCCCTTCAGGAAGTTATAGAGAGCAATAAGGTCTCCCCTGAGCCTCCTCTTCTCCAGGCTGAACATTCCCAGCTCCTTCAGCCTCTCCTCATATGGCCTGTGTTCCAGACCCCTCACCAGCTTTGTTGCCCTCCTTTGAATTCTGCCTAGTTGAGAGAAGGGTGATGGTACATGATATAACCAAGAACTCAACTTTTGACAATGAATTCCCACTCCACTGAACCTGTTATGAGACAACGGCAATTAGAATCACAGAATTGTTTGAGTGGGAAGCGACCATTAAAGGTCACTGGTCCAACTCCCCTGCAACAAACAAGGACATCCACAGCTACAATTGCAATCACAGAATCACAGAATTGCTCAGGTTGGAGAAGACCTTCAAGATCATCAAGGCCAACTCAACCTTAACCATACTACCCTAACTCTAACAAACCACCTCTGCATCATATCCCTGAGCATCACATCCAGACGGTTTTTAAAAGACCACAGTCATAACTCAACCTGTTCCAGGTATCTTCAGCATGCAAGACACTTGGAATTTAAACTTCTTTACTGGGAGTAAAAGAAGCTTTACACACTGGGAAATGGGGCAGATCCCTCAAAACCCTGCAGTTTCTGTATAACACCTCAGGGAACAGCTCTGTGAGTGAGTTTGGTGTGGAACTGCAGAGAATAAATCTCAAACCACTCACCTGACCCTGAAAGGTCTCAAACCTTCCGGCCAGCCCCTGATGTTGTTTCTTTAAAAAAACTTTTCCACAGTTCCACTGCTGCCGTGTTTTATCAAAGGCTTAGCACACAGGGCTCTGCTTTCAGGAGCGGGTAAGCACAGATAACAAGGGGAATAAAGGGTTTGGTGTCGTGAAGGATTAATCTTGCTGTGTCTGTGCAAAGATTACTGCCTGGGCGAGTAGAAGCAAGTAGCATGAGATGGCTATAAATAACGTGTGACCTCGTCTCAACTGTTCTATTACTGCAAATGGAGGAGGAGGAGCTGATCAGGAAATTTTCCGTCTGCTGATGGACGTGTATGCTGGCAGAAAGGTGCCTGAGCTGCCCGCAGACCCCGTCTGGAGAACTGGCACAGGGGGAACGTCTCATGAGAAAGGAAACCTAGGAAGTGTTTGGGTTTCTTTGTTATTCCAGCAGACAGTTTTTCAGCACACAAACATGTGGATTGGTAGTGCATGGTCAAAAGAGCTGACTGGATTAATCTAAAGCAAGTGGCAGATACT